GGGTCTTCTGTCAGATATTCTACACATCAGAGATTTACATCATGATTCACAACAGTAGCAAAACTACAAATAATTTTATGATTTGGGTCACCCCAGTGTGAGGAACTGTATTGAAATAAAGGGCTGCAGCCTCAGGAAGGAGGAAAGCTGCTGAAGCAGAGCATCTGCCAGATGTGGCCTTAGTGTGGAACATCCCAGTGTCATCTTGGGGAATCAAATGCTTTTGTGAAGTCGCCACTCAAGGTAATTCTGATGTGAAACTAGCCTAGAAACTCGGTCTCAGCGATGGTTCAGGGGTTCCTCATGCGCCAGGTTCCCTATCGGGTAAAACACTGGGATCCACATTAGGTCTAATTTGAGCATTTCTCATTCTTGTTCCTCTTTTGTACTGTCCTGAGTCTGCTTAGCCTTTCTTAGAGATGGCCTCTCTTACAGCTCATCTCCAAAGGAAAGGTAAAGGAAAGGGGAGGGGCTGTGTTATGTAGCCCAGGTTTCCATCGGTATCACTATTCCCTTTTGCTCCTGAGGGTGGAGCCTCCTGGCTCCGGGTTGGATCATCATCTCTAGACCAAGGTGCCAAGGTTCAAACCGGAGACAGGAAGGTTCACATATTTCAGAATGTGTACACTGAGCCTAAACTGCGGATTCTCATCTCTTCTCCAAACATTTGTTTCCCTGAGATGACACAGGGATGTCCCGCCACATCCTGGAAGACGCTCTACATCATTCCCACTTTTTCTGCCTTCTTCTTGAAGCTAAGCATTCGATTAAGTTAGGGGTTTAGTTCAGAAAAAAAAAAAACTATGAGAATTAACGAAACCTCAGGGAAGGTTTCAACTGAGGTTGGCTGTCCAGAAACTGCATAACCACACAAAATCTATAGCTAGGCCGATGACAATTGAGTCTTTCCACTTTTTAACATTCCCATTTTTATTTTTATAGACTTATCTTATGTACATGGGTGTTTGGTCTGCATATATGTCTGCATTTATGTTCTGGGTGCTTACAGAGGCCAGAAATCGGTATTGAATCCTCTGGCTTGCAGATGGCTGTTAGTTGCCATGTAGGTGCTGGGAACTAAAGCTGGGTTCTCTCTTCAGAACAACTAGTGTTAATTATTTTACATCCCAGGTTCATCTTTCCCTCCTTACTCTCCTCTCAGCCCAGCCAATTCCCACAACACAAGCTCCTCCTCTTTCATTTCTGTTCAGGAAAGGGTAGGTCTCCCATGCATATCAACAAAACATGGCACATGAAGTTTCTAAGTAAGGCTAAGAACCTTCCCTTGAATTAAGGCTGGGCAAGGTGGCCTAGCATGAGGAATAGGGTCCCTAAAGCCAGTAAAAGAGTCAGAGACTGTCCCTACTTGCACTGTGAGGAGTCCCACAAAAGGACCAAGATCCACAACTGTAACATATATGCAGAGTGTCTAGGTCAGTCCCATGCAAGGTCTCTGGTTGTTGGTTCTGTCTCTGTAAGCCCCTATGAGTCCTGGTTAGTTGGTTCTGTGGATTTTCTCTTGATGTCCTTGACTCCTCAGGCTCCCAATCCTTCCTCCACACATTCTGCAGGATTCTCCGAGCTCCACCTAATGTTTGTCTGTGAATCTTCATCTGTTCCCATCAATTGCTGGATGAAACTTCTCTGATGACTATCAGAATCGGCACCAGTCTATGAATATAGCAGAGTATTGTTAGTCATCATTACATTGACATTATTTCCTCCAGTTACGTTTGGTTCTATCCTAGGTCTCTGGGTCATCCAGCCTATGGGTCCTGGTACTCCAGACAGTGTCAGGGGTGGGCTTATTCTTCTGGCATGGGTTTTAGGCTAGACCAGCCATTGGTTGGCCACTCCCTCAATCTCTAGGTCACCCTTACTCCAGCAATCCCATATGTAGGACCGACTGTAGGTTGAAGGCTATGTGGCTGGGTTGGTTTCCCACTCCCTCCACCCGAAGTCTTGCCTGGTTATGGGAGATGGCCTGTTCAAACTACATATCTGCTATTGCTAGGAGTCTTATCTGGGGTCATCTTTGAAGATTCCTGGGAGATTTCTCTGTGCCAGGTTTTTACCGGATCTCAAAATGCCCCCCCCCCATTTCTAGTAGTTTCTTTCAATTCTCTCCCCCTCCTCCCCACACAACCCGATCACTCATATTCCTATCCCCACAAATTACAGTCTAGTCATGAAATCTCCTCTATTTTCCCTTCCCGGGGAGTTCCAGGTGTCCTCCCATGAACCCTCCTTATTACCTAGGTTCTCTGGGTCTGTGGATTGTAGCATAGTTATCCTTTGCTTTTACAGCTGATATCCACTTATGAGTGAGGACATGCCATGTTTGTCTTTCTGGGTTTGAGTTACCTCACTCAGAATCAGAGCTAGACAGAGAATTCTCAACAGGGGACTCTTGAATGGCTGAGAAACATATAAAGAAATGTTCATTGTCCTTAGCCATCAGGGAAACACAAATCAAAATGACTCTGAGATTCCATCTTATACCTGTCAGAATATCTAAGATCAAAAAGTGACAGCTCATTCTGGGGAGAATGTGGAGCAAGGACAACATTCCTCCATTGCTGGTGGGTGTTATTTTAAGATGTGTTATATTTGTTTATGTTGTGGAATATTTGTTTTAATGATGCAAAGATGTGTTGCATTTTTTATGTTGCACTTGTTTAACTCTGTGAAACTGTGTTACTTTGCTGGTCTAAAACTCCTGATTGGCCTAATAAAGAGCTGAATGGCTAATAGCAAGGCAGAGGAAGAATAGGTGGGGTCGGCAGGCAGAGAGAATAAATAGGAGCAGAAATCTGGGAAAAGAGGAAAAGGAGCAAGAAACTGGGCATTCATGAGAAAGAATAAGCCTCCATGATATTTATTTGGGAGCTAGGTGGCAGGGCTCCAAAAGAGCAAGGGAAAAAAAAAACCTGGGAGAGTAAACTTGTACTGCCACTTTGGATATCAGTATGGCAGTCTCTTCAGAAAACTGGGAATCAATTTGCCACAAGACCCAGCTATACCACTCTTGGGCATGTCCTTAAAGGATGCTCAATCATACTGCGAGGACAGTTGTAACAATAAGTCTTTCCGCCAGGCCGCCCAAGTTCAGCCCACCATCACGTTAAGGTCCCACGTAATGCACAGAGATTCATATTATGTACAAATGCTGCTTGGCCAATGACTAGGATTTCTCAGTCTTAATTATCATAAATCTATATATTTTATAAGACTTATCTTATCAGACACCAGCAGAAGTGTCCTGTCTTCCCGGGCTCCCATGGTGACTCTGAGCTCTCTCCTACCTTTCCCAGAATCCTCCTAGTCCCCCCTATCTTGTTTTCCTATTGGCCAACAGTACTTTATTTATCAACCAATAAGACAATCACATACACAGAAGGACCCCCCCATCAGACAGTTGCTCAAGAATATCCACAACAGCTTTATAATAGCCAGAACCTGAAAACAACCTAGATGTCCCTCAACCAAGGAATGGCTAAAGAAAACATGGTGTTTTTACACAATGGAGTACTACTCAGCTGTTAAAAACAATGACATCGTGAAAGTTTCAGGCAACCAGTGTTCTTAAGTGAGCCATCTCTCCAGCCCTTCAGGGTTCCCATCTTGATGAAGTGCTCCGCTTTTCCTTACTTCTCTCGCCTGCCCTCCCTCCGTCTCTCCCCCTCCCTTTTTCTTTCTCTTCCCTCATTTCCTTCCTTTCTTATTTCCTCTTCTCTTTCCTCCATCCCTTCCTCCTTTTCTTCCTTCACCTCTTTCCCCTTTCCTCCCTTTCCCTTCCTTCCTCACTTCCCTTTGTTACTTTCTCATTCAAGAATGAGGAATCTTTCTCGATTCTTCTTTCATTCATTCCACCCATCCCTTCCCATTTTTCTTATTCTGCTTTCTTCCCCCTTCTTTTTCCTTCCTTCCTCCCTTCCTTCCTCCCTCCCTCCCTCCCTTCCTTCCTTCCTTCCTTCCTTCCTTCCTTCCTTCCTTCCTTCCTCTCTTTTCATCTTTCCCACCCTTCCCCCTTCATTTCTCCCTCCCTCCTTCTCTACCCTCCCCCCTCCCTCCCTCATGCCTGTCCTCCCTCCCTCCCTCATTCCTTTCCTCCCTCCCTCCCCCCTCCCTCCCTCATTTTCTTTCCTCACTTCTTTCCCATCTTTTCCCTCCCCGGCTCCTTTCCTAAGGAAGGAGCCTTCTCTATCTTCCACTAAGGAGAGGCCTGGAGCTGGGGGTGGCAGCTGGGGGTGCCCTGATCTCTTCCTGCCTGTGTAGGGTGAAGTGTGAATGTTCAGTCCATCGCAGTCCCGAGAGAATGTGGCTACCCAGCCTTTTGCAGTTTTACGGTGAGTCTATCTGCATTTCACAAGTCAGTTATTACTCGTGATTGATGCTCACCTGGCAAGCCTAAACAATCGTGCAGCTCACATCCACATTCCTCACACAGACACAAATATTTGCTTTGTTCACATGGCTGGGGAGAGAACGCCATTCTACCAGGGAGGAGCCTCAGCACAAGGCCCTCGGCTGCAGCCTCTGTGTGGACAGAAGGCTTAATAAGTTCTTGCTCTTCTAGTTCCTTAGGGTCAGCATCCATGAAAACAGGCTACATGGCCAGTCGGAGGAGTCTCCTTTTTGCCACCAGAGAAGATTCGGGAGAGGAGCCAGAGCAGATTCTTTGGCCAGCTTCTCCTTCCTCTCTCCAACCTGGCTAATGACAGGTCTTTTCCTAGATGTATTTTTACCCTCTGGACAAATAGCAGTTGGGACGAGTGGAGCTTTTTTTATGAGTTGAGGTACTCACGGCTGGAAAATAAACATCCAGCTAATGAGACGTTCTTATGGAAACCAGCACAAATAATAACAAAGCAAACATCCTGTGCCCCGTGCCAACACCCCTGGGTGAGGGGATATAAAAGCTGCTGTCCAGCTGACCACTGTCAGACCTAGGGGAAGCTCGGCCGCGTTCCTGACCTGCGACCTGACCGGCTGGGACCATGGGGTGCTGCCCGGGAGACTGCCTCAACTGCTGCTCCCAGGAACAAGACTGCTGTGAGGAGTGCTGCTGTCAGCAGGGCTGCTGTGGCTGCTGTGGCTCCTGCTGTGGCTCCTGCTGTGGCTCCTGCTGTGGTTCCTGCTGCGGCTGCGGAGGCTCTGGCTGCGGATCTGGCTGCTGCGGGTCTGGCTGCGGGTCTAGCTGCTGTGGATCTGGCTGTGGGGGCTGCGGAGGAGGCTGCGGGGGCTGTGGAGGCAGCTGCTGCGGCTCCGGCTGCTGTGGTACCGGGTGCTGTGGTCCAGTGTGCTGTCAGCCCACACCTGTGTGTGAAACGAAATGAAGACCTTCCCCTTTATAACTGAAGCAGTGTTGGGGACAGCCTTTGCCTACTCCAGATGGAGACCTCCTCACCTCCTGACTCCTTCATACCTCCAACACAGTGACCTGCCTCTCATGTTATTTCTGAGAGCAGAGCTTGCCTGGTGTGTAAGGTACTCAGGACCAAAAGAGCCATTTCCTAGCAAGACATCATTAAAGCTGAGTTCCAATGAGGAGGTCACTAAGTTCAATGTTCCAGGCATTGTTTGCATAAAGTCAAATGCTTTGCAGCTATGAAACAGTCTCTTACTCTTTGGACCTGCTGGTCCACCCCAGCTTTCTGCTCCTCTGAAACTTTGTCAACCTTTTAATAAATTCAAGCATGCTGGCTACCCTATCAGTCCTCTTGCCTCTTCCTTCAATCCTCCTAGGGACGACTACTAGGAAGATTTACTCTGACATCCACCTAGAGACTGCACAATAGAGTTTGTTAATCTCCTGCAGCAGTCCTGGGAGGCTGGTTAGAACTGTAGATTCTGGAGCCCTCCCTGAAACATAAGGAATGCTGTAGGTGCGTGACCTGGGGAATCTTTTTTTTTTTTTTTTTTTTTTTTTTTTTTTTTTTTTTTTTTTTCAGGAGCACAGGTAATTCTCTACAACAAGGGTGGAGGGTTAGATAGACTGTAGCCTCTGCATGCAGTATGAGATTCACTCAGTGAGGCATTGGCCAATACCTGGGTGTCACCACTGGCTCTGGTTCCCATCAGCTCTAGGAGCTGGGATGCCCGAGGGCCATGTTTTTAAAAGTAGAAAGCAAGGTAAATGCTGATTTTACTGTATTTAATCCCGCTCATGGTGCTTGCCTACTTGCTGTATTATGGTTCTAGAATGGTTTTGCAGGACTTTGGTCTTGGCCTGAATCTTGTGGCAAAGTCAGAGCAGAAGGCTTTGGTAAAAGAATTTTGGTGCTTTTGAATTTGATTTTTTTTTTTTTTAATGCTAGAGATTGAACGTAGAGCTTCACTTGCAAGTGAGGCCAAACCTCTACCATTGGGCTCAGACCCAGGCCCCTCTTTAACTTTTTATTGTGACACAGGGTCTCACTAAGTTGTCCTGGCTATCCTTAAACTTGTAATCCTCCTGCCTCAGCCTTCCATGCAGCTGGCATTATAAACCCATCTCAGGCTGGTTGTGAATGTCAGGGATTTCTGTGGCCAGACTGTATGAAAATGCAGTTTCTGAGGACATTTGAGTGGTCCAGAGTCTCCTTCAGCCTCATGTTCTGGTCTCAGCTTCCTCCTGGAGGGCAGGAGGAAGGGAAGGGCACACGTACTAAACAAGCCTCGCTGGGAAGCTAAAACCCAACTAATGGTAGGTTCAACCCCTTGTTAAGAATGATTTCTAAGCTGGGTGGTGGTGGCACACACCTTTGTCCAGCACTTGCCAGCCAGAGGCAGGTGGATCTCTGTGAGTTCGAGACCAGCCTCGTCTACAAGAGCTAGTTCCAGGACAGCCTCCAAAGCCACAGAGAAACCCTACCTTGAAAAACAAAAACAAAAAAAGAGAATGATTTCTAAGTGACACATGGGTTAAAATAAAATCTATTCTTGCACTGAGAAAACAATATTTGATTTTACTTTTACGAATGAAAGAGAGGAATGGCAGGGTCTCATATGTAACCCTAGTGGGACTGGAACTCAGATCTGCCTGCCTGTCTTCTTAATGCTGGGATTAAAGGTGTGCTTTAATTCTTGGCCAGAATATATATATAATATATATATGTGTGTATGTATATATATGCAAGTGTGTGTGTATATGTATAAGTGTGTGTGTGTGTGTGTGTGTGTGTGTGTGTGTGTATTTCTGACTAAAAACAGAGAAATAATTGTTAAAAGGACAAAAGGACACACACTATAGGAGCACAGAAGGGAGAAGTAGCCAGCTGACTGCTCAGGTTTCCATAGTGAAAAGTGTCTTAGGAAGGCCCCCTCATAAGCATCTTCACAAGCACAAGCCATAGGTTGCTGCTTCTACTATGCTGCCTTTAATTTTTTCTTTTCATTAAAAAATTCTCCTAATTGTATTCTTTGAGAATTTCATAAACTTTTATAGGTCAGTGTATTTTACTGCTATGTAATTTACACATGGTTAAATGCTACCATTTGTGGTGCCCAGTCCCATGAGACCTGATGATACTGTTCTTGTGGTGTTGTTGCTGCATTCAGTTCACAGAAGGTTTCATCACTCGCCAAATTCCCTGGCTCCTTCTTTCAGTGGTTCACTGTCCCCAGCCCCTGGCAGCTATCAGCTTTTTATATTATGCTATTATGTGGCACTCTTCCACGTCTAGAATTTCAATAGGCAAGAAATTCATATGCTGTGGATTCTTCTTACTTGGGGCAATGACTTTGATACTCACTCGAACAGCCAGCATCAATAGTTGGTCTCTTTCTGTGTGTGTAAGTGCATGTGACATTCTCCAGTGTATGACTGCACATATGTATGTGGATGTACACCCATGTGGAGATCAGAGGGCAGCCTTGGATATGTTCCTCGGGCACTGTTCACCCTTCCCTTTCAAGTCAGGGTCTCTCAATGGTCTGGAACTCCTCAAATAGGCAGACTAGGTGGCCAGTGAGATTCAGGGATCCACACCTCCCCACTTGCTTAGCCCTGGGATTACAAGAGCCTTCTACCAGTGCCAGGTTTGTTTTTTAGAAACCTCGGGTCCTGGGAATCAAACTCAGGTCCTTGTTCTTGTACAACAAGTACTCTACTGAGCCATCTTCCCAAACCCTAGGTTTTAACTTTTTTTAATTGAATAGTATTTCGTTGTATGGAAAGACAATATTAAAAATTCATCCACTAACTGAAAGGCACTTGGGTCGTTTGTCATTTTTGGTCATTATAAATAAAACTTTCATGGCCTTCCATGTACAAGTTTTCATATAAACATATGTTTTCATTTGTTTTGAAAAAAAACATCCAGCAATTGCATTTTTGGGGAATGGCAATTGATTGTCTAAACATGTAAGCAAATACCAAATTGTTGCAAAGTGGTTGTACCATTTTGTATTCCTATTATATGCGTGTCTGAGAGTTCCAGTTGCTCCATGCCCCTGCTAGCACTTGCTGTTACCAGTTTTTTTTTTTTTTTAAATTTCAACCACTTATATTTCTATAGCCAATTGTGCTTTCAATTTGGGTTTTATTATAAAAAGGATTGGTAGTGGTAGAGGATATAAGACTTGACTTTGCCCCATTCCCACTTCAGACTCTTTAATTTCAGTGACTTTTTTTTATATACAATTGGCCTATTAAAAATAGACTTTTCAATCCCCAGAAAAAACTCACACCTGCAGAAGGGAATCCTGCCAAGGATGGGACTATGGGACAATGAAACAAACCTGCTAAGAGATGGATGGCTCTGTACTGAGTCTCTGTAATTCAGAGCAACCGACCACTCCATTGCTCATGGCCATGTCACCCGGATGCATGCGTAGAGGTAGTGATTTCTTGGAGTTACCAGCAAGGGTTACCCTTCTTAGCTAGACACAGAGGTTCTCATTTGCCCATTCAATAAATGGTAATTGTGCACTGCTTATGTATCAGCCTCGACTCTGGATGCCAGGCATGTAGCAGGGAATAGACAAAGTCCTTGTCCTTATGGCACCTGGATGATGCCGAAGGGTGAGCAGTGCTTTAAAGGTAAGTCAAGTAGGAATGCTTGCACAGAGAGAAAAGTTGCCACTTCGATTATCAGGGGAGGATTCTCTGAGGAGATAACACCCCAGTATAAAGGACTGTGCCCTCTCTGTCAGTTCTCCCTTAGGGTTTTTTTTTTTTTTTTTTTTTTGAGTTATCACCAACTACGATTCCATCACTTCTGAGGAAGGAAAAGCAGATGGTGAGGTCCTTTGGATGGTAGGGAGTTGATGAGCTCCTTACCCCTTTCTCTACAGGGCTGTTGGAAGGTACCCTTCCCCACAACTCAAAAGGCACATCTCAAAGAATGATGATCCCTTCTACTTTCCAGATGGATGCATCTAGATTCTGATGCCTTAAAACCTCCCCTACTGGTCTAGTCCAAAGATTTGCCAGGTTCAGGTTGTCACCAGGAGGCTTCTGGGTAATTTCCCAGTCTCCTTACGGTCTCTCTGCCTGTAAAATGATCCTCTTACTCCCACCTCCATAGGCAGAGATTTCTAAAATAGCAACCCCCTAGCTTCCTTGCTTAAATCCCTAAGTACCATTATTAAATCCAACTTCTTACTCAAGACCTCTGTAGCTTGGTGCCTAAGTAACAGCTATGGTCCTATCACTGTCTCGTCCTGTCTTCTGGGCTCCTCATCCTGACTGTTTCAAACTGTAGTAACTGTCAGACTATTTTCCCAGTGTATCCTGCTCTTGAGTCTTTGGTTTCCACAGATTGAGCTTTTTCATCATCCCTTGAGGATTTTATTTGGCCATCTTACTACTTGAGAAAGCTTTTTTAGCTTCATAAAACCCATATGAAGATCTCCCCAACACCCCAAAGTCTCATCACAATATGTCACCACTGTTCATGGGCATGTGTAACTCTCTCTTTTAACCTGGACTTTGTGACTGAGATTTCTGGTTATTCTTTTGTATCCCTCTAGAAGGCCCCAGTGTTGTCCTAGTTGATGGGTAAACCAAGAGAAACTGAGTGAATAATTACACACATTAATGCATGAAGGGATGGTGAATGAGTGATGGTCTATGCTCGGCCTTCCAGGAGAGGCTATACTGCACTGTCGATGAAAACTCAGGCAAGACTTTCACGCACTGGACAAGAAGGCTTAGCTTTGGCTTGGAAACCTGTGGTTTGTTTCTCACCTCATCTTAAATAGTAGCAAAAAGAAGTCTTGTTCACAATGCTGTAGGGGCCAACCTGGAAAGCCAGTTTTTTTCCCTTTCACTTCATGAAGCCTGGAAGTTCATCCTTTAAAAAAATAATATTTGCTCTTCTTGTAAGTGGTCTGAGGTGACCCCTGAAGATGGTCAACTACTCTCTTGACCCAGAAAACACTACAAAAACATGCAAATCAAGCAGTTTAAATATTTGTGTTCACTTTAAGAATACCCACGATACTGCCCAGGCCATCAAAAGTGTGCATATCTGTAATGCCACCAAGTATCAGAGAGATGTCACTTTAAAGAAGCACCATGGTGGAGTTGGCAGGCAAGCCCAGGCCAAACAGTGGGTCTGGACACAGGGTTGGTGGCAAAAAAACCCAAACCAACCAACCAACCAACAAACCAAAACAAAAAACCAAAAGACAATAGCAACAACAAACCCCCAAACCAAAAAAGTGCTGAACTTTTTCTGTACATGATTAAAAATGCAGAGAGGGTGCATACCTTTAATACCAGGACTTGGGAGGCAGAGGCAGGCAGATCTCTGTGAGTTTGAGGCCAGCCTGGTTGACAAAGCTACACAGAGAAAACCCTGTCTTGGAAAACAAAAATACAAATGAACAACACACACACACACACACACACACACACACACACACACACACACACACACACACACACAGCCCTCCCTAAACAAAACAAGAAAAAAAAATGCAGAGAGTAATGCTGAACTTAAGGGTTTAGATGCAGATTCTCTAGTCATTGATCCTATCTGGTGAACAAAGCACCAAAGATCCACCACGAATTTACAGAGCTCATGACCCTATTAACCTTTACATGAGCTCCCCCTGCCACATTGAGAAGATCCTCACTGAGAAAGAACAAAGCAGGAAGAGGAGGGTGCACAGAAGAAAAAGATCCCAGAAGAAACTGAAGAACCAAAAACTTAGGAATAAATTCAGTATAAAATAAATGAAGATACAAATTTCAAAAGCAATTATTTTTATACTTCTTTAGTTTGTGCGTATGTGTCTGAGGGGGTATGCCTGGGACCTGGTATATGTGTGGGAGTCAGAGGACAGTTTGCAGGAGTTGGTTCTCTCCTTCCACCATGCGAGTCCCAAGGATCGAACCTAGGTTGTAAGGCTTGGTGATAGTTGCCTTTACCCACCAAGATATTTTGCTGGTCTCAGTATCTTTCTTCTAAGAGCTCTCAAAATCTCTGCAAATGGGATCTTTCCTTTGTGGAAGTTGGAACAGCTAGACACCTCAGTGCCACCATCCCCTGGTGCATGCCACACACTGGGAACTGGTACAACCATGGGGCCAGCCTCTGTGACAAGGATACTCTGGAGGTCCATCAAGTGTTTGAGATACACATGGGAGGAAAAGCTGGAGAAGTAGAGAGGCTGTGTCAAGCGCTTTCCAGAGACAGATGGAGCAAATGCTCTTGGGTAGGGCAGCTAGGAGAAGAGGGTGGAAGGTGGCCCCACTGAGTGAATCTATTATATATGACATTGATGGTGTCTGCTAAGAAAGTTGAGATTTGGAGCCAGTGAGATGGCTCAACAGGAAAAAGTACTTGTCACCAAGCCTGATGACCTGAGTTCAATTCCTAGGATCCACACGACAGATAGAGAGGACTGACTTGAATTGTCCTCTTACTCCCACACTTGTGCACACACATGCACAATAAATAAATTCAATACTTCTTTTCCTACAAGAAGTTTGAGCTGGGTGGTGGTGGTGCACACCTTTGATCCCAGCACTCAGGAGGCAGAGACAGGTGGATCTCTGTGAGTTTGAGGCCAGCTTGGTTCCAGGATGGTCAAGGCTGCACAAAGAAACCCTGTTTCAGAAAAAAAAAAGTCCAGTTTGCTGAAAGCCCACAGGGGGAGAGGATGGGAGCAAACTTCACCAGGTGACTTCACTTTTCTTTTCCTCTACCCTCCAGTCTCATCTGTAACTGGGGAGAAGAGCATGAGCCTCAGAGGAAGGCCATGGGCCATAGCCATTGGTAGTTCAGTTTGGATGTCCCACCCATGACCAAGCTCCTCACTGTGTGTCTCCAGCCCTCCCTGTGTGCCTCTGTGGAGCTGATCACGACGGTGCAGTAGGACTGCTCCCAGTTTGTTTGCCTGCTCCAGGGTGGGTGATCATTCTTACATAGGCACCTGAGCCTAACCCAGGAGTAGAAGTGCAAAGGAAGAGGGCAGCTGAATTACAAGCTCCTTTCCTCTTTCCTTCTTCATGATGCTAGGATATAGACACCAACAGTTGGCGGAGGTTGCTCATCCCAACACTGTAGCTTCTAGGATCCCATATTTAGCAAGTCAGTAAACAAACATCTTCTTTATGGGCAGACAAACAATGTCTAGGTCAACAAATGTTGGCATAATAAGATGTTTCTCCAGAAACAGGGCCCAAACAACAACGAGGAAAAGATGCAGGCCCCCACCAAACACGCACCATGAGGGACTATAAAAGGGAGAGGGCCTTGGAGACATGTCACACTCAGGCAGCTACCTCCCAGCACTCAGTAGAAGCAGAGGTACCTCCACCATGTCTGGCTGCTGCTGTTCTAGGAAATGCCCCTCCCTGCCAGCCATCTCCCTCTGCTCTACTGAGGTGAGCTGTGGGGGACCCATCTGCCTACCCAGCTCCTGCCGGAGCCAGACGTGGCAGCTGGTGACTTGTGAGGACAGCTGTGGGTCATCTGGCTGTGGCTCACAATGCTGTCAGCCTTCAGGTTCCCTGAGCAGTTGCTGCCAGCCGGTATGCTGTGAGGCCACCATTTGCGAGCCTTCTTGTTCTGTGAGCAGCTGTGCTCAACCTGTGTGCTGCACGGCCACTGTTTGTGAGCCTTCTTGCTCCTCGGGCAGTTGCTGTCAACCTGTGTGCTGCGAGGCTACCATCTGTGAGCCTTCCTGCTCTGTGAGCACCTGTGCTCAGCCTGTGTGCTGTGAAGCCACCGTGTGCCAGCCTTCTTGTTCTGTGAGCAGCTGCCAGCCTGTGTGTTGTGAGACGACACCCTGCCAGCCTGTCCTCTGCTTACCTGCATCCTGCCAGCCAGTGATCTGTGAACCTAGCTGTTGCTCAGCTGTCTGCACGGTGCCTGCTTCCTGTCAACCCATGATCTGTGAGCCTGTAGTGTGTGAGCCTGCTTGCTGCCAGCCGGTGTGCCCGACACCTAGCTGCTGTCCATCTGTCTGCTCTGCAGCCAGTAGCTGCCAGCCAGTCTGCTGTGACTCCAGTCCCTGTGAGCCACCTTGCTCAGAGTCCACTGCTTGTCAGCCAGCTACCTGTATGGCTCTGGTGTGTGAGCCTGTTTGTCTCCGTCCTGTCTGCTGTGTTCAGAGCCCTTGTGAGCCACCGTGTGTCTCTAGCAGTTGCCAAGACTCCTCATGTTGTGTCTCCAGTATTTGCCAACCTGTCTGCCCTGAACCCAGCCCTTGCCTGCCATCCGTGTGTGTGCCCAGCCCATGCCAACCTTCCTGCTACATAGTCAAACGATGCCGTTCTGTCAGCTGTGAGCCTGTTTCCTGTCCACCTACCTCCTGCCAACCTCTCTGCTGCCGTCCAGGGTCCTCTGCGTCTGCCGTCTGCCAACCAGCTTGTCCCCCTCGGACCTTCTACATACCCAGTTCCTGCAGGCAGCCTTGCAGTCCAGTTTCCTGCCGCCCCATCTGCCGTCCCATCTGCTCTGGACCCATTACCCTCAGGCAGCCGTATGTGACGTCCATCACTTACCGCCCCGCGTGCTACCGCTCCTGCTACTCCATCCTGCGCCGTCCCACCTGCCTGGCTTCTTACTCCTACCGCCCTGTCTGTTCCCGCCAGCCTTGCGCCGATTCTGACAACTCTAAGCCTGAGTGCATAAAGTCGACTTCCAGCCAACCCGACTGCCCTGACTCAACACCCTGCAAGACAGAGGTCTCAGATGAGACTCCCTGCCAGCCCTCTGAGATCAAACCTGCCAGCCCGATCACCCGTGAGGCTACAGCCCCCCAGTCGGCGGCCAGCAAGCCTACTGATCGCTGAGCTAGCCTCGGCTCTTCAACTCCTGCAAAGCAACCGCCAAAAGCCATAGAGAAATCGGGAAAACCCTGTGCACAGCTCATTATGACTTAGCTAGAGTCTTTTCCTTTCTACACTGCCACCGACCACCTGCTTATGCTTCAGAGTTCTCTTCAGAAGTGCCAGCCTCCTAGTGGTCCCAGTGAAGGCCTCCTGCACAGACAAGGGAATGGTCTTGTTTCCTGTCGTCATGACACTGAGGAGAACTGCTTTGACACATCCTTGGGTTCTTTCCTACTCAAGATGCTTTCTGTCCTCATGCATTATGTTCCCTGGGGGCATCTTCAGCAAGATGTATTTAATCGTGCAATAAAAGTAGCTAAGATGAAGTGGCACACTGTTCTTGCTCTTTTTTTCTTTGACATGACAGTATCAATTGGAGTCATGCTTCATCTTGGAGAGAGGCTTTCCCCAGCACTCCTTCTGTCCATCCTTCCTGCCTTCTCTCCCTCCCTCCTTCCTTCCTTCTGTTCATCCATCCATCCATGCCTCCATACAATCGTGCCTCATCCATTCATCCATCCCACCATCCCTCCCTTCTTCCATAAATCTTTTTCCTTTCATTCACCCATACCATGATCCACCCATCCACCCACCCATCCATCCACCCACCCATCCATCCATCCATCCATCCATCCATCCACCCATCTATTCATCCACCTATCCATCCATTTACCCACCCATCCATCCATCTACCCACCCATCCATCCATCCATCTACCCATCCATCCATTTACCCACCCATCCATCTATCTATCCATCCATCCATACATCTACCCACCTATCCATCCATCCACCCACCCATCCATCCATCTCTCCATCTACCACCCACCCATCCATCCATCTATCCATCCATCCATCCATCCACCCACCGTCCACCCACCCACCCATCCATCCACCCATCCACCCATCCATCCATCTATCCATCCATCCATCCACCCATCCATCTACTCACCTATCCATCCATCCATCCATCCACCTATCCATCATCTGTTCGTTCATCTCACCATCCATCTATTCCATCCTCTCCATTCATTTTTCCTTTCATGTATGTTTCTCCCCTTCTCTTTTTCTTCTTCTTTCCTCCCTCTTTTCCCCATTCCTCCATCTCTCCGACCCCTCCTCTTCCTTTCCACTTTAAAGCTGTTACTGTTCTCTTTTCCATCAACTACTTCTTCCCCCATCCCTTCCTTCTTCATTTCCTTTATTTCAAAGCATCTATTGTTTACTAGCTTCTCCATTTTTTGCTTTCTTCCCTCCCTTCTTCTTTCCTATCCTCCTTCCCTTCCTTCCTTACTTGCCATCCTCCCTTCCATTCTTTCCACCCCTTCCTTAATCCCCCACTCTCTCCTCTCTCCCTTCCTTCTAGTCTTCCTCTTTCCCTCTTTCTCTGTCTCTCCCTTTCTTTCCTCTCTTCCTTGCTCCTCCTTTTCTCTCCCTTATTTTTCTCTCCTTCCTTCCTTCCTTCCTTCCTTCCTTCCTTCCTTCCTTCCTTCTTTCCTTCCTCTCTTGTTTCCATCTCTCCTTTCTTCCTTCTTGTCCTTATTTCCTTCTACTTTTTCTCTTTTGCCCTCCATCACTCCCTTCCATCCAGTGGCCATTATAGAACAGCTGCTAGGTAAGAGGCAGGGACAGTGTTATTCTCTAGGAATTAAAGGCAGAAGTCTTAGTCCCCAGTCTTTGGGTGATCACCCTATGATGTGACACACAACAGCAAGACAGTTATTACATCCCTTTATGAAAAGCAGAGAGCTCATATCCTTTGGTACAAGTAAGAATTAACCAGGTACAGAGAAGGAGGGGCTTTCTAGGAAGGAACAGTACTTACAAAGGAACAAGGCTGGGGCAAACTGTTCATTAGGTGATGCTTTGGCAGAGGTGTCCTCAGAGGGAAGATGAGTTCTGAGAGTGGGGATCTTCCCACAGAGGGCCTCGTGTGCTAGATAAAGGCTTGGGTTGGTGAAGGTTTGTGTGAAGGCACCAAAGGCTGTAGCACAAATAATAAAAACCCCTGAGACAGATATTAGGGTTCAAGCTTCAAGGTGAAGGTCAGAGAATCAAAGCAGCAGGCCACTAGATCTTTCCTCTACCTCAGGGTGAAAGGGCTGTCATGTCCTCAGAGTGGCTGGAGAATAAATCTCTGAGACTGACTCTGCTTCTTCCTTCTGTACCTCTCTAGAGCTGGGATTAAAGGTGTGGGATCCCAAGTGCTGATATCTCCTTTTTGTGAGCTGTTTCTCTTTTAAACTGATTCACTCTAATGTAACCAGGGTTACATTAGAGTGAACTTGAATTCACAGAGATCAATCTGCTTTTGTCTCCTGAGTCCTGGGATTAAAGGTGTGTGCCACCACTGCCCAACTTCTATAGCTACCTAGTGTGGCTGTTGGAATTGAAGGTGTGTATCACCATTGCCTGGCTCTATGGCTGTGGCTAACTTTGCATTTAACAAAATATATCACCACAAAGGGCCTGAATGTAGGGCAGGGACATGGAGATAAATGGGTTTTAGAAAGTCTCTCTTGCCTTGGCATGGAGTACTGAATGGAAAGACATGGTCCTGGATGCAGAGAAACTGCAAGAAACAGATGTCTCGGGGGGGGGGGGATGTCAAAGAGGGATGAAGACAACAAATGTCTCCCTTGCAGGAAGGACGGTTGGGCAACCGGGGTTTTTTGTAGGAGGATTTTATGTTCTGACACCCATGGTCACTTGTTATATAAACATCGCCTCCTTCACCTTCAGGCACACGGTTCCTTCAAGGCAGCAACATCCTTTGCACACAGAATGGAGGGTGCTCTCCCATCCTCCAGGTCTAACCGGAACCATCATAGGCACAGGAAGAGGACAGACCAGACTTCTTAGCTTTGTCACTTTGGCATTTGGATGGAAGTCATTTGCTAAGGAGTCTTGGATATCACTAAGTGTAATTCCTGGTCCCTTACTATCCAGCTGTTGCCAGACATCCCCAGGGAGTCATGGAATCAGTTAATGAGGAATCAGTAGATTAGATGATGGCAGAGGGGGGACAGTCAATAGGAAAACTTATCTGCACATGGATGTAGAGTTACTGTTATAACAGTACATTAGGATTTAATCTCTCTCCTTCCAAAGTCAGAAGAGCAGTTAGCCAGTGTTTCCACCCCTTTGCTAGGCATTAGACTTAGCAAGGTGAGATTTTTTTCCCTGCCCTGTTTCTCTATTAAGATGAAACATCTGAACGCCAAACTAGCCAAGTGTTACTGAAGAGACAAATAAAATGTAGTTTAAACAACACAACAAAGCATTATGCTGCAGTGAAAATAAATGGAAGAGAGCTACATGCAATAACACTGGTGATCACTAATATTGATGTTGATTGATTTAAATAATCCCTAGAAGACCATATGTATTTCTAAAGTATAAAAAAATTCACACACACACACACACACACACACACACACACGTTTGTTTGTATGGGCATACATATATAAACACACAGATACAAAGATATATAGCATATATATATATGTATATTCAGGGTGGTTACAACTAATAAGTAACATAAATTATTTAAACTTAAAGTTTGGTCCAAAGTTGCTTTTTTAAAACTATAATTGATCACTATATGAGGTGTGTGTGTGTGTGTGTATGTGTGTGTATGTGTGTGTGTGAGAGAGAGAGAGAGAGAGAGAGAGAGAGAGAGAGAGAGAGGAAGGAGAGTGGGAGAGAGAAACAATGAGATTGTATGTGGTACACATGCATGTGTGAGTGTGTGTGCGTGCATGTGTGAGTGCGTGTGTGTGTGTGTGTGCATGTGAGTGCATGTGTGTGCATGTGTGTGCATGTGTGTGCATGTGTGTGCATGTATGAGTGCATGTGTGTGCATGTGTGTGCAGCTATGAGTGCATGTGTGTGCAGGTGTGAGTGCATGTGTGTGCAGGTGTGAGTACATGTGTGAGTGCATGTGTGTGCATGTGTGAATGCATGTGTGTGCAGGTATGAGTGCATGTGTGTGCAGGTGTGTGTGTGTGTGTGTGTGTGTGTGTGTGTGTGTGTGTGTGTGTGCTCTACAGGCAGAGAAGGACTTCACTTGTCCCACTCCATCATTCTCTGACTTATTTCCTTGACACGGGGACTCTCACTGAAACTGGACTGGTGACCAACAAATGCTAGCGATCCTTCTGTCTCAAGCTCTAACATCATTGAGGTGAGGGGCACCCACAGCCATGACTGGCTTTTTATGTGGCATCTGAACTCTAGTCCTCATGGTTGTGTGGCAAGCACTGTTAAATACCAAGTCCTCTCTCCATCCCATCATTGTATTTCTTGATATCATCACGGAATGTCTTTGAGTGACATTGTAGTTACCTTCAGTGCCTTTAATCATATTCAGTTGATCAAAATAAAGATTTCTCTTAATTGGGATATTTTTTAAAGAAAAGGAAACAAAAACAGAATCACTTAAGAAAAAACAGATGAAAAATGGAGCTTTCTATCTACACAACTTGTGTGTCTCTGTATAGAATTTCACCTTTTAAATTAATGTTATTTTTTCAAATATTTTTATGTTTCCCTGTTTGGTTGATTTATTTGGTGAGACTAAATGTATTTCTCTTGGGGGGGGGATGAAGAACTTTGGGGTAAACATATTCCAGAATGGAACGTATTCTTCAGTTTCCCAAGTATGGGAATTATAGGGGTGTGTGATATCTGCAGATTTAAAGATGGCAAAGTGAGCATCATGAAAAGGAAAGTTCCAGGAGCCATCAATGACACCACAGGAAAGACAGTGATAGAGAAGGGCTCTTCAAGGACGAGGGTGAATGTCTTCCAGACATGACTCTCATCAAGAGTTTCTCTTCTTTTAAAACAGAGGGTGAAGAGGGGGACAGTAATACAGGGTTCCTCAGCTGCTCCTTTGCCAAGCCCTCTCTGGAATCTTCAGCCGTTTCAACCGTTTCTGAGGCAGTTGAGTTAACCTAAGAAACATCAAGGTGATTTATGATGTCTCGGTACTTTGAAGATGTGGGTAATGAGGGAACCTGTTCTACAGAATGAGCTGCAAAGCCTGAAATCAAGACTAGCCTTGCCTGCCATCCCACACCATCATCTTTCCATTCCATCACACGCCTCCAGCAGGAACCAGGCCAGGACGTGCACTTCCGTGGGATGCTGGATTTAGTTGGTGGTGAAGCACCCAGTTGAGCCTAGAGGAAAAAGAGATAGGTTCACAGAGAGCATCACAAATTTTTCTTGGAAGAGATTGCTTGAGCTTTAAAAGGCTTTGCAGAGATGACCTGATATTTCTGGTTGCTGACGTTTTGTATTTGTGGAATTCATAAACCGTTGGCCTCCATTTTATGAGTTAGTACTCCTTCATGAAATATTTGAAGGTTTGTTTTTCTTCCTTAGGAGCTTTTGAGAAGTGACTCATTCCCTGGTTCAGGCTGACATGAAACTCACTATGCAACCTACACTGGGCTTGAACAGCAATCCTTCTGCCTCAGCTTCTCAAGTATCAGAATTATAGGGGTCTGCCATGCTTGGCTAAATGTTTATATTTTAAATTTCTAAATGAAAGGATTATCTTTGGGAGTATTACTAAATAGAGATACACATTCATCTCGTTTGAGTAAGCCGGCATCTCACGGCATGGGGAGATGACTCCCATCACAGCCTAGACATGCTGCTTGTGGGCCAGCCCTGCTGAATGCCATTCCTCAGTCCCTCCAGTGTAAGTCCTCCTCTCTGCACCTCCCAGGAAGATCCAATTGAACAGAGGTTTTGGGAGATGATCACTCTGGATTTGAATTTTGTTTTAAGCATAAATGTTTTAAGAATTTGTTTTTGCCACTTTTAAAATAGGGATGCCAAGTATTCTTACTAGCTAAGGCCATTTCAAGGATAAATGAAAATGCCACCAAGGGCTTGGTTACATTTGGTGAGTGCCATTACGGCTGCTAGTTGTTGGCAGCAATTGAAAGTTAAAGATTCTAAAGGGAGGGGGCACATTTGCACATCCTTGGGGTCCACTGACTCATTTTCTTTTCTCCGTCTTTGCTATCACACCTCTCTCCCAGTTCCGTCAGAGCGTCACTCAATCCCAATGACACAGGACTGCATCCTGGAGGAAGAGCTGCTTCAGCTTCCAGGAGGCCTCCTGATGAGAGGGTAGCGAGGAAAAGCCTGCTGTGGTGAGGCTGAGGAACAACCTGTAAAAGAGACAGCTCATTCCACAGCCGCATCTGTACATCCAAATTCGGCAAAGAAAGCTCCCGGCTCAGCAGACATGTTTTCTGTTTTTAAGTGGGGGCATCATCCTTAGCTCTGGAAGCACTAATCTGATGTTTATATGCAAATGAATAAGAACAATAACAAGGAAAGATGCTGCAGGGTAGAGGCAACACCCCAGGGAAGGACTATAAAACCCCTTGGCATATGATTCTTTTTCAAATTCTGAGCTTGCGGCTTCCCAGCCAGGCTAGCAGCAACACCATGACAGACAGCCCTTGTCCCGGAAGCCCCAAGGCTGTCCCATCTGGGTCCACCATCTCCACATGCTCCAAGGGTAGCAGCATTAGAAATGCTATCCGTTTGCCCAGTTCCTGCCAGAGTAGGACGTGGCAACTGGTTACACATCAAGAAAACTGCACACCATCCAAGAGCACCCCAGTTACCTCTAAACCCGTTTCTTGTCCGTCAACCTGCTTTCCAGAAACTCCCTGTGTGGGTTTTGTTTGCCAACCCATAGGTTCACATACAGCCTGCTGTGCACCTGACACTGGTGGTACTCCTCATCCATCTGCCTCATGCCAGCCCTCCAGTTTGGAATCTACCGGATGTCACTCGACATGCTGTGATAACAGTTCCTGCCATCAGAGCTCTGGCCAGGTACCTGCCTGTACTTCAGGGTCATGCCAGGCAGCATGTGGCCCATCAGCCTACTGTGATGGTGAATCCTGCCAGCCATCCGGCTCTGAAGCAACTGCCTGTGCTGAGACCCCGTGCTTACCAGCCAGCTGTGAGGCGGGTTCATGCCAACCAACCTGCTGCCAAGGAGGGTCACATCAACCCATCAAAGGTGAAGGTCAGCTCTGCAAGTCAGTTTATTACCAACCTATCTGCTATATTCTCAAGCCCTGCCAGTCAGCTTCCTGCGTGCCTGTCTCCTGCGAGCCATTAACTTGCATGTTCAGTTCTTGCAGTCAAACTTGTTGTGTGCCCTCCTCTTGCCAGTCGCTTCACTGTCAACCAGCGCCTTCAGTCTCCTTCATCTGCCAGCCCGTGGCTACCTGCCAGTCCCCTTGTGTAAAGAACAGCAGTAAATCGGCTTCATGTGTCATGGTTTCTGGCCGACCAGCTTGTGGTGGACCCACTTCCAATCAAAGCAGCTGCTCATCTCCTTCCTGCCCGCCCCCTTGCTGTGTGACTGGTTTTGGCAAACCTTCCAGCAGCGGCCCTGGTTGCTGTCCACCAAGTTCTCCACATGCATGTCAGGCGAGCGCCTGCGCGCCCGCTTGCTAACAATCTAGCTGTGAGTCCAGCCTCCCTGAGGCCCATCTTCACAACGGAACACTTCACAGCCCTTCTGAGGATGTGCTATAGTCCCCAAGTGTGGAGCCATCCGGTGGGTGCCTGCCTCCGGCTCTGCACAGATGCCGCCTGCTCTCTGGCTTTACTGGAGTTCAGAGCCAAGTTCTCTCCAAGTGCTGAGGAGAGAACTCATCCGCTCTGAGGAGATCTTCTTACCCCAGGTTGACGTGTCAGTGGCCGTGGTCTGCTCTACAGTGTGCATTTCCTGATGTCAGTTCATTTCACATCAGCAAAGCCTTCTCTCCAGTCCTCCTTTCTTTGGATTTTGCCTGGTCTTTCTGGAGATGCTTCTGCTGCTTACTAAGCTAATAAAACTGTGAGTGGTTAAGTATATTGAGTAAGACATGTGACTGCTTTCCTTCCTTTCCACACTGTACTCCTACCAGGATTTCATTTAAGTCACCCGAGTCCTGTGGTTAGTAGGTCTACATTGATCTACATGGGGAGAAGGTGTCTGGAACTACAGATGCCCAAGCTGGGAGGAAGGACAAGCCATTATTTGGTTTCTAACGTTTTCACCACCAAGAACTCTTTGGAACTGAGTGGCCTCAGTTTCCCCAAAATGAGTGGATTTGAAAAAAAAAAAAAAACTAAGACAGATAATTCAGGATAAATCTAGGGAATGAGAGGGGAGCCACTTGCCTTTAAACCCAGCACCCTGGAGGCTGAGAGGATAATGAGCTCCAGGCTTCCCAGGCTACATAAGGAGACCCTGTCACAAAAATAACTGAAGTGGCCTGGAATTCAGCTGAGTTGGTAAGGTGCTCGCCTGGCACACATAAGGACTGGGTTAGATCCAGAACACCACACAAACCAGGCATGGTGGTGCATACTTCCAGTCTCAGCCCCTGGGAGGAGTAATGGTAATTCAAGGTCATCTTCAGAAATACAATGAATTCCAGACCACCTTGGGCTATGAACGCCCCACATCAAACCAAACCAAACCAGATCAAACCCACCCACATCTAAGTAAGTCAATAAATAAACCTGAAATCTTGGTCATGGAAGACAGCTTAGAACTAATTGGCTTAATACTAGATGTGCTTTTTATTTTTTCTCCCCGAGACAGGGTGTAGTGGTTTGAAAAAACAATGGCCCCCAAAGGGAGTGTCACTATTAAGAGGTGTGGCCTTGTTGGAAGAAGTGTGTCACTGTGGAGGTGGGCTTTGAGGTCTCATATATGCCCAAGCCACGCCCAGTGAGACAGATCACTTTAGGTAGCCTGCAAGACGTAGAATGCTCAGCTCCTTCTCCAGCACCATGTCTACCTTCATGATGCCTTGATTTCTAGCATGACTGCAATGGACTAAACCTCTGAGCTTTAAGCAAGCTACCCCAATTAAATGCTTCCCTTTATAAGAGTTGCTATGGCTATGTGTCTCTTCACAGCAATAGAAACCCTAACTAAGACACAGGGTTTCTCTGTGTAGTCCTGGCTGTCCTGGAACTTGCTCTATAGATCAGGCTGGCCTCTAAGCCAGAGATCTGCCTGCCTCTGCCTCTTGAGTAATGGGATTAAATAAAGGCTCATGGCACCATTGCCGGCTAAGTCTTTTCACAATCAACTCATTTAATGGCAAAAAATTATTAAATATGTTTCTTAATTGGGGCAAGATTCCTGACAGGTATACATCAACTAAACAGAGACCTGTGCAGAAATGATAGTGTCTGTGCAGACAGGATTTAGTTACAATCTGTTCATTGATGGAATAGGTTCATTCAGAAATCCTATGCATCAAAAAGCTTTGAGTTTGGCCAGGCATTGAATTTTAGCTCTGTTTTATACCGGTGAAAAGCTTAGGCATCCAGTAAGTTCTGTCTCACACAATGGCATTGAAAGAAGTTCAGATCTACACAGTCACATAAGAGAACTTCCTGATACACGCTTAGGACTTTAGAGTCAAAGTACTCTTAGCCACCAGTGAGGACTCTTACTCTGACAGTCCATCTTTTGCCTACTGTTTGTATTGCTACTAGAAGCTGTCCTCTGTACACCTTGACATTGAGCAACAGGTCTATGTGACAGTAGTAGCAGACCAATTGCCACCATACTGAGATACCTAAAATCTTGTTTCAAAAAAAGTGACAAATTGAGTTAAAAAACAATCAAGGGTAGAACTCTATACCAGAAAACTATACACATGTAACCCAGATATAGAAACATTAAGACATTGAGTCAGATCCCCTTAGTCAATCTACATAGCCTGGAGGTCAGCCTACAATGTGCCTACAAAATAAGGAGTTAGAGGACCAAACCTGAGGATGATGCTGTTATAGAAGTCAAACTTTGAAGGCCATAGATAGTTCTATTCTGAGAGAGAAGTGTCCAGTTCTTTGTGTACACATTTAGCTGTATTTTAATGAAACAACCTTTACACATTTAAAATTTCATGTTTTCCAGGGGGAAACAAGGAAAGATTGAAAAACAAAGTTATCATAGGGATTGCCAACTCTTAATAAAATCGTACAGGTTCTGATGACTCTCCCATTTAGTGGCAGGTGTCCAAGTCATCATTAGCAGTTTGTTTTTCCTACATAGTCTTGGCTAACCTGGAACTCACAGAGATCTGCCTGCCTCTGCCTCCGCAGTGCTGGGATTAAAGGCGTGTGCTATTGTACTCCTCCATTTGGAAAGACATCCAATAAACGAAGTTGCACTTATTTATTATTTTGCGTGTGTGTGTGTGTGTGTGTGTGTGTGTGTGTGTGTGTGTGTGTGTGTGGAAGTGCCATGATGTTTGTTTGGAGATGAGAGGACCAAGTGTGGGAGTCAGTTCTCTCCATCCATCATGTGGGTGCTGGGGACCAAACTGAGGTCATCGTCATCTTCCTAGTGTCTTTACCTGTTGAGCCATCTTGCTAGCTTGAGAATTTTATTTTAAAAGTGTCACTTTGAACTGCAAGCATGTCTCTTAAATTTCACAAGCAGACACACAACAGGAGGTGCTATGCTGTCAAAATGCCCACTTAACCTGCTCAACATCTCCAATCTATCCTTTGCTGACCTCCTATGCTTCCTTTTGGTGTGTGTATATGAGTGTGGTTCATGCGCATAAATGTGTGGATATAAGCGTGCCCATGCATGTGTGTGTGGATGTGACCACACCTGTGTAGATGTGTGTGGAAACCCAGAAAGAATGTCAGGGGTCCTGCTCTGTCTCTGTCTTATTGCCTGGAGATGGGGTCCTCACTGAACCCCGGAGCTAGGTTTGTATCTAGCAAGCACCAGGTAAGTTTTTTTTTTCTCAGCCCTACACAGTGCAGGGGTTATAGGCCAGTACCTGGCTATCCCTGACTATGTGTGTGCCCAGGTCTTCATACATGCTTAGCAAGAGCTCCTCCACACTGAGTAGTAGTAGCTCTCTTTTTACTGTTTAAAAGTTTGAGGTCAAGGATTGCCTTGAACTTATTCTGTATGGGTGGCAGGTCTTGAACTTGACACCTTTCTGCCCCAATCTCCTATGTAGCTATTAAACTAGCAACTGGGCTACCAGATCTGACTGCCTTATTCTTTTTATTGTCTCAGTTATGGGTTTCTCAACTTATTGCTGGTCCTCTGCCAGCACACTAACTGTAGGTTCTAAGCATGTTGGATGTAAAGATGGGTTGGGAAGATCTGTGGGTTTTTTTTGTTTGTTTGTTTACCATGCTTGGCGTCAGTTCAGACAATGTGGCATTTATTTGCTCCTTGCAGATTTGCTAGAACTTGCCCATAAAATATCTGGACCTCCTGTTATGTTCTTCCCAGCCTGAACATGCTCATAACTAAACCCTCATTTACACTTAGGCCTTGAGTAGAGGCACAATTTTAAAAACATAAGAGAAACATGTCAACAACTAACCAACAACAGACATATTTTCTCCTTCCTTCCTTCCTTCCTTCCTTCCTTCCTTCCTTCCTTCCTTCCTTCCTTCCTTCCTTCCTTCCTTCCTTCCTTCCTTCCTTCCTCCCTCCCTCCCTCCCTCCTACCCTCCTTCCTCCCTCTCCCTCCCTCCCTCTCTCTTTTCCTTCTTTCCTTCCCCTTCCTTTTCTTTACATCTGCTTTGGATCTTTAAAGAAATATAATTGAAATAAGACATTGTCCATGGCACTGATGTCCCCTTTGTACCTTATCCTTTTAGTTCATTTCTATCCTCAGACACAACCTCTTCCATGATTTCATAATGGATCATTTCTTGCCACTGTTATTTATCTAAACCTGGAGGTAGTCTGTACTATCCATGAGGTGTGTAAATAACGTTTAGTGTAGGGGTTGCAGACTTCAAGATTTATATGTGCAACATAAAATTGTGTCATTTGTTTATTTTTATCTAAGATTGCTTTCAAGAGCTATGCATTTGGAGGCTGTGGAGTTAGGCCAGTGCTTGCTGTAAGAGAATGCAAGCCTGAGCTCGATCCTCCGGACTCACATAAAAGACTAGGTAGGCACAGCGACCGGCATTTGAAATCCTAGTAGGGGAGGCAGATACAGGGGAATCTGTGGGGTGGGCTGGCTGCTGTGCTGTATGCCCAGTATGAGACTCTGTCTCAAAAACAAAACAAAACAAAACAAAACAAAACAACAACAACAACAAAAACCCCAAGGTGAATGGCTCCTGAGAAATGATTCTTGAAGTTGACCTCTGGTCTTTATAAGCACACACATGTGCTAATGCACCTGCACACACATAAACATCCATCCATACACACACACACACACACACACACACACACACACACACACACACACACACGAACTATACAATTTATACATGGATCTGTTTAATTTTGTTAATGATCTATGCTGCAAAATAAATTATTTCAAAATGTAGTGGTTCAAAAACAAAAACAAAAACAAAAAAACCATGTATCTTGGTATCTTTTTGGGCAAAAAAATATAGGTGTGGCTTAACCAGGCACCTCTAGCTTGGGATCTGAGTCAACAAAGGTA